GAAACAAAAACAAACAACAAGAAAACAAGTCTGTAGTCTTTTTTTTTCCCCACCAGCTCCACGACTACCTGTAGTCATTAGAATGAAAAATAATAAAACATCAAAAGTTGGATGCTGGGAATGCCCACCTAGTACATTATGAGAAGGACTGTTCTACTGCAGATGTAAAGAAACAGCACATCCTTGATATAGTGAGAAATTTCATTGCTATGTGAGATAGACACCTCAGAAGTAATCTACAACTTCTTTGCCAAAGCTGGTGTTGGGACCATTGATGTCTCAGATGAACAAAGCAGGATACGTGATGACACTAACTGGAATGAGCTGCAAAAAGAAACAAACTGTCCCATAGTCAAATGTCAATGATTTTCAGATGCTGATAATGTGTTAGCTCCCTCTATTGATTGTGAATTTCAAAGGGGAACAGGCATTCTCCAGCTAGGTCTGTTTTGTTTATTTGTTTGTTTGTTTGTTTTGGTTAGTAAGTGCCCTTTATTTCTTAGTCAAAGTTCTTTGGGGGCGGGGTGGAGGATAGCTCAGTGGTACAACGTATGCTCAAGGTTGTGGATTCAATCCCCAGTCCTCCATTAAAAAATAAATAAATAAACCTAATTACCTACCTCCCCAAAATAACCTAAAAAACAAAACTAGATGAAAACCTCACCCTCATGCTTTTAGGGGGTGCTGAATATATCTCAGTGGTACAGCATATGCTTAGCATGCACAAGATCATGGGTTCAATTCCTAGTACCTCCATTTAAAAAAAAAGAAAGTTCTTTGGGGTACAAGTAAGAGAAACACAAGCAAAGTTAATATAAAATGAATAAGAGGGTTTATCATAAAATGCAGGGTCACTCCATGGATTCCAAGGATAGGATGTGCCATCAGGTTCACAAAAGACGGAACCAGGAACGAGAAAGCTCTCAGATAGCTGCTCAGAGAGAACTGGTGCAAAGACCAGGCTACCTTTGCTTTGCTCAGCACATCTACTTCCCTGTCTCAGTCTCTCTGTATCTGTCTCTGTCTCTCTCTGCAGACAAGCCCCTTAGGCTCTACAGGTGTGTGGTACAAGATGGCCGCCCCACAGCAGTAGCTTCAGAACCCTGTTCACAGGACCTCCCACTTGCAGACCAGGAGACACCATCCAGGATCTCTAAGTCTTAATTTCCCAGAAAAGAATGACTAAGTTTATTTATTTATTTTTACAATGTTGTGTCAAATTCCAGTGTAGAGCACAATTTTTCAGTTTTACATGAACCCACATATATTCATTGTCACATTCTTTTTCACCATGAGCTAACACAAGATCTTATATATATTTCCCTGTGCTATACAGTATAAACTTGTTTATCTATTCTGTATATGCCTGTCAGTATCTACAAATTTCGATCTCCCAGCCTGTCCCTTCCCACCCCCTCCCCCCAGCAGTTACAAGTTTGTATTCTATGTCTATGAGTCTGTTTCTGTTTTCTATTTATGTTCATTTTTTTTAGATTCCACATATGAGTGATCTCATATGGTATTTTTCTTTCTCTTTCTGGCTTACTTCACTTAGAATGACATTCTCCAGGGACATCCATGTTGCTGCAAATGGCATTATGTTGTTGCAGCCATTGTGGAAAACAGTATGGAGGTTCCTCAAAAGACTAGGAATAGACTTACCGTATGACCCAGGAATCCCGCTCCTGGGCATTTATCCAGAAGGAACTCTACTTCAAAATGACACCTGCACCCCAATGCTCATAGCAGCACTCTTTACAGTATCCAAGACATGGAGACAGCCTAAATGTCCATCAACGGGTGACTGGATAAAGAAGAAGTATATTTATACAATGGAATACTATTCAGCCATAAAGCTAGGTCTGTTTCAAGCACAGACAAACAGAAAGAAAATTTACCCAAGACCAAATATCCAGGAGAAAAGAAGCATAAATGGCACTGGTGGTCAGTAATAAATTACACTAATGTAAATGATTTTGATGCCAAAGCAACAGTCACTAGATTTGTTTGTAAACTACAAAATAACACATCAAGATCCAATCCCGTTTTTAACCTGTACATCAGATCATATCACTCCTCTGCTTGAACCTATTTCCCATTACACTTAAAATAAAATCTAAACTCCTTCTGGCTTACACAGCCTTACAAGGCCCTCTGGCCACAAGAAGATAAGAGGGACAAGAACTCCAAGCAGAGAGAACTGGTGCAAAGACCATAAAGTGGGAAGGAGCTTGACATATCTGAAGAGCAGAAAGAAGGCCTGTGTGAGCTCCTCTCCTACTACTCTCCCCTCACTTCCACTATCCTCCAGTCATTCTGCTTTATTTCTGTTCCCTCTTATCTTCTTGTGGCTGATTCCTCCTTGAAATTTAGGTTTCAGTTTAAATGCTGCCTCCTCAAAGAAAACCTTCCCTTATTTCCCAATATAAAGGCTTGTGTTAGAGATATAAATTTTGGAGCACAGATGAGATTACTTTAGGAGAGAATATGGAGTAAGAAGAGGGGTTTTACTAGAGCTCTAAAATCCCTAAATCGAGGCAACATTTAGCTATTAATTCAAGACTATCTGGCTCCAAAACTTCTCTTTCTAAGATATTATGTTGTCTCTCAAAGAATAGGTGTTGAATAAAATTAAATTAATATGTAAAGTAAACCATTGCAGAGGGTGAAAAGGCTGAAAATAGAAGCATATACTTTGCTAGAAAATGAAAAGATATTTGAGGTATCTTAAAGAATAAATAAGATTTAGACAAGAGGGGCATCATGTGCAAAGACATTAAGGCATGAAAGAGCATGGCATTGAATTGTTAACTCCAGGTAAGCAAGGACGTTGTCTGTCTTGTCCACTGCTATGACTCCAGAATCCAGAATAGGCGTGGCCTATAGTAGTCACTTAGTACATACTTGTTCAAGGAATGGATAGATGGACGAATGAGTGAATGACATCATACAGGAGCAAGCTTGAACACAGGGTATGTTGGTGAGAGAAGGAGAATATGAAGCAGGAGAATGAGAGAGAGGTCAGATCACGGAGGGCCTTGAGTTCTCCATTGAGAATCTTAGGCTTTATTCTCTACATAACGTGGAGCCAATGAAAATTTTAAGTAGAATTTGGGAATGATCAGATTTTGTTTTAGACTGAACAATCTCCAGTGATTAGGAGTGAGTGGGAGGGAGATAGTGAAGAAGATAATATAGATACAGATATATTACTTCTGATTTCTAGTGCCCAGATCATTTCAGTCATGGTTATTTGAATGTACCTTGGTCAGTCTATAGCCCACCCAGAGCCAATAATAATAGATAAGGTACAGTATATGCTGCACACATTATAGTGGGACAGTTTGTATGGTACCTCATGACCAGTGCTATATTTTTGTCATGCTTAGAAAAATATTGAGGAATGGAGTATATATAATTTCCAGTGTATATATCTCATTATTTCTAATTTTCCTTTTCTTTATCCCTAAATGTAAACCAAATTAAATGCTAGCTATCATTATGCAAGACCTAATGAAGGAGAACTGATGACAAATACAGTGCTTGTTCAATAAATACTTATTCTTCTTGCATGCTTACTCTCTGCCTGGCACTATTGCTCATTTATCATTGCAACAAGCTTTGAAATCAAGTGCTATTATCATCTTCATTTTAAAGGTGAGAAAACTGAAGCTTGACAAGTGAGATTTATAGGGGATAGAATTAACATGGCTTGCTGATTGTTTGGATGTAAGCTATGAGGGAATGAAAGCATTCAAAATGATACCCAGCTTTTTGGTGTAAGCAAATGATTGCATAGTTGTGCCATTCACTGAGATGGGATTAGGGAAGAAGTTAGAGCAAGTTATGGGAGAGGGAAGAGTGAAAATACATTGTTTTAAGTGCCTGAAAGAGATGCCCAGCTGTCATTAGATATTTCAGCCTAGGTTACAGGAGTCTCGCCTGGGCTTCCTATATGTGGGAATCATCTGCATACAGATGATAACTAAAGCAATAGGATTGGTTAAGATCACCCAAGAAAAGTGTGAAGAGTTTTTTTTTAAAGAGGAGAATATAAGGCAGAGCCCTTTGGAACATGAGTATTTCAAAGGAAAATGAAGAGCTGCCACAGAAGTGGGAAAGTGCATCATCTTAGAAAGAACTAAGAGAACAGAGGGTGCTATGAAGTGAATGTTTGTGTTCCCGCCCACCCACAATTTATAAATTAGAGCCCTGATCCTCAATGTGATCTTATTTGGAGGTAGGCCTTTGAGAGGTAATTAGGTCATGAGGTTGGAGCCCTCATGAATGGAATTACTATCCTTATAAGGGCTGTGAGAAAGATAATATCTCTCCAGCATGTGAGGACACAGCAAGAAGGCAGCAGTCTGCAAGCCAGGAAGCAGGTCCTTACCACAACCCACCATAATATGGCATCCTGGTCAGAAACTTCCTAGCCTCCAGAACTGTGAGAAATAAATTTCTGTTTAAGCCATTCAGTCTGTAGTATTTTGTTAAAGCAGTCCAAACTAAGACAGGGTTTCAAGGAGGGAATAATTAATGTAGGTCCCACAGAGTTAAAGTATGGTAATGGTTGAAAAGTGTCTATTTACCTTAGCAACACGGTTGAGAATTTTGATGGAAAGGAGAGGTTAAGTGTGTGGTGAAGGGTTTGTAGGGTGTGGGGTTGAGAAAGGCGACTTGGAATGTTTCAGATGAAAGAAACTTTGACACTGTTTAAATGCTGATAACAAAGAGCCAGTAAGGAGGGAGCCGTTGATGAGTCATGAGACAGACGAGTTTATTAGTGGAGTTAAACTCTGAGTTGGTAAGAAGGAATAGGGATGTAAAAGGGATGGGGGAGCTTAGATCAAAGGAGAGTAGTTATTATTATTACTGTAAAAGAATGGGATAAATGATTGCTGGGGGAGCCAAGGAGATTAAAAAAATTCGTGGCGAAAGTAGAGGGAGTTCCTGTCAGATGGATTTTATCTCGTCTGTGAAGTAACAGGCGCCGTTACCTGCTGAGACTAAGCCGGGAGATGGCGGTGCAAACTTGGCTCTTCATTTATCCCGCTGACTCAATGCTGATGGACTCTTTGTAGCCCTGCATCCTCTCGTTTTCTCAAAGGAATAGCGCTTGATGTTTATGACAAGAGCTGTTGTTGGAACCAGAGACAGATTCGACGATTCGCCAGTTGGAACTACCACTCCCGGAATGCAGTGCGGCTCCTGGGAAGTGCGGGGTCTGGGAACGCAGTAGGCCCCCGCCCGCCTCTCGCGGCCATTGGAGGAACGCTCACATTCCCAGGAGGCCCCGCGCGGGCGGGGTGCTTTATGCGGAAGCCGGCGGCGTCCGGTCCAGCCTCCTCTGGGAGCGGGCAGTCGGCGACCCTGCGCTGACCAGCGCCGCTACTTCCGAAACCGCGAGTTCTCGGAGGGTGCCAGGACAGGTAAAAGCAGCGGAGAGCGCTGGGCGGAAGGCGGGAAGACGACCTCAGAGGGAGGGCAGAGGTGTTGACGGGAAGGTGGAATGAGGAGGCAAAGCAAGAGTGACTAGGGCTTCTCTGGTGTCGACAGTTCGAATTGTCGGGCAGGTCCACTTTTGGTGAAGTGCGTTTTATGCCGCTGGAAAGGCCTCGAGTTAGAGGCAGAATGCGTCGCTTAAGTTGTTACAGAAGGAAAAAAATGTTAACTTTCCTTCAGTTTGCATTCTGCAAGACATCTCTGCAGCATTTGAATCTCTTGAGATCTCTTTAGTCTTCGAAAAAAACTCCTCTCTAAGCCCTTGTTTCGATGACGTCGCTTTCAGCCTTATCTCCTACTTCTGGGATCCTTCATGGGTTTCTAGCCCTTTGCGCTCCCTTCCTCCAACGCCGGTGTTGACATTCCTCTTCCTCAGTTCGGATAGGAACTCTGTATCTCTGCCCAGACCTATTTCCTCAGCCTCAGACCTGTATGATGATGTTCTTGTTATTACTGTTGGCCAGTATTTAACAAACTGACCATGTACTAGACTCTTTAGTAAATGCTTTACACCTCCCTCCTCCATAACCTCCATACACGATCAGTTATCAAGTCTTTTTCTTTCTGTGTTATTAATTGCTCCCAACCCTTTGTACCTCCATTGTCCTACCCTTGATCCCAGAGGATACGGTCATTTGGAGGATATTCTTTCCCTTTGAATAGCTGTGACAGCAGATCCACTCATATGTTTAACAAACATTTATTGAACCGTTAATATGTGCTAGACACTCTTCTAAGTACAAGGGATAGGTGGAAACAGGATATAGGGGATCGCTACTCTCAGTAGTTTACATGTTTGTGTGTGTATGTGTGCGCGCGCGTGTGCAAACAGGAAGAATCAGGATGATGTTATATTTAGTGGGAATCAGAACAGGTTGTCGACTTGACATTTCCTATGCTGACAAAATCAGAAGGGTTGGGTTGGGTCTCAAAGCATCACCCAAAAAGAATATTTGTAATACCAACAAGAATAGTATTGATCTGTGACTACACTTCAGGATTTTCATAAACACCTCTTCTTTTTACCTCTTATATCAGTGTTTTTCTTCATCATCCTGTCTCCTCTAAGGTTATTACTTCACAATTGGTGGCGTTTCTGGCTTCTTTCCTTCTAAGATCCAGATAGAAGTGTTGGGGCTTAGTTTACTCTCAGCTCAACTGCTTTATTTACTTAGGGAGATAGTTTGGTAATCAACATATTCTTCTTGCTATGTCCTACTTAATAAAATAATCTATGATTTATAGTATATTTAAAACCAAAACATGCTTAGTGTTCATTAATCTATTAAGCAAATATTTGAGGGAGTATTATATGTCAGACTCTGTGTTGGGCACTTGGAACCTAGTGAGAATAAGATAGACACTTTGACCTCTCTTCCAAGAAGAAATAATTGTATGCTGAGGAAATTCCCGATATGTAGGCTGACACCTGCATTCTTTTTTTCTTCATCCAAGATGAGATAATCACAAAACTTTAAGAAATCTACTGAACAATGGGTACATTCTTAGGTTATTCACTCTAAGGTTTATTGCATTTATTTGTTTGTCTGTCTTCCCTATTGAATTATGGCTCCCTTAAAGTATAGAGGTCCTTTCTTACTGGTATTCATACCTCCAGTGTCTGTCTACTACATTGGGTACCATATAGTAAATCCTCAGAGCATGTGTGTTGAAACTGAAAAAGAAAAACTATTTGAGCAAATCCAAATTACTTAATTTGTACAAGGCCTTCTTTTTACATATGGCCATTAGACTTATCCCTAAACCTTCTCATTTACCAAATGTGGACCATTCCATCTCATCAGGCTAGTTTATTTACCCTCCCTAGCTTGTTCTCACTTCTATACTTTCTCTTGTCCCATAGCCGTCTCCTAAAATGAGTTCTTATCTTTTTCCCGAGTACCTTCCATGGCCCTGCCCCCTATTTAATTTAATAGACCAGTTTAATAGTATGCCCCATGATACAAGGGTAGAAAAATATAATTTCCATCGTGTATTCCCTACAAAACATTCTACTAATGAACTGTTGCAAGGATTTAACATAGTGCATCCCCTTGCAATAATACAAATAATAACACAAAATGCTTTCTTTTGATTTTGCATTAACTATTACCATGTGCCATGTGACAAGTTAATTCTTTCACTTCTTTTTTCTGTCTGAACAACCTTTATTCATACAGCACATTATGGTGTAATTTGATTTCTACTTGATATAAACACACCTTTGAGTTTTATTTTCTCCTTAGCCTGAGATAATTCATGTGTTAATGTTATGCTTCCACACTGTCATTTTCAGAATGTCAGGTAAAAGTCTCAACTCTTAAAAGCTTTTTTCCCATGTAGTTATCTTTCAGTTGTAAATCATTACTGTAAAAGATAAATTTTGTCTTTAAACTGATTAAAAAACACAATAGGAATACAAGAGTGCTTGAGTCAGGATTGTCATTATGATTTTAGGATGTACCCATCTAAGAGAAGCCAGACAAGTTTCTAGTACATTAAAAACTAAGCACTGTTATTTTAGAGAATTTCTTGGCACCTATAACTTCATAATGCAAATGCAACACTGAATTGTGTGCTGTCACTCATTTATACAGTGTATGTCTATATAACCCAGGATATTCATATACATTTTTAATGTTATCATAGTAAAAATACAGAATTAAACATTTTTTTCAGAGCACATAGTCTTGAGTCTGAGAAACTGATTGGCCTTTTTCCCTACTCAGTTCCCTGAAATCATCTTCAACTTCTGTTTGAAGATGCTTCCACTGAGGAGGTCATTTATACTGTTGCTATGCTATTTTGTTAGCAATTTTTTTTAATGCAGGCAGTCCTTTACTTACAAATGGATATATTCTAATAGCTTCTTTGTAAGGTTATTGTTTGAAACTCTGGGTGCATTTTCTTCTATAAATAGTACTATTCATGACATTTCAGTTGTTATGCCAACCAATAGCATCTTACATAACCTTTAATTTAATGGACTTAAAGACCTTCATCACAATTTATAATAATTCCTCTATAAAACACTACATACAGAATTCTCACTTGGATTGCCACATACCCATAGCATATCTTTTTTTTTTTTTGGAATCCCAGCAGCTGAAACAAAAATGTTCTTTTCTTGGACCCTTCTAGGCAGTAGAAACAGGCCTTTCTAACTCGATGCATCTAATATGAGTAAGGAGAGATGTGATAGAGATTTCAGAGAAGAGAAGGAGGCAAGTTGGGGTGGTATGAATATGTGGAGAGGGGAGAATAGGAGTGATTTGGGAGGAATGATGAATTTCTAAGATGGGGGTTTATTGTGTCCTCAGAAAGTTGTTGAATCCTGACCCCTGCTACCTGGAAATATGGTCTTTGCGATGTAACTAAAATATAAGTTAAAACGTGGTCATACTGAATTAGGTGTCCTTACAAGAAGAGACACAGAGACTGCCATGTGAAGACATGGACAAACATGGAGAATACCACATGACTATGGAGGCAAAGATTGAAGTGCTGCAGCTCCAAGCCAAGGAATGTCAAGGATTGCCAGCAAACCACCAGAAGCTAGGAAGAGACAAGGAAAGATTCTTCCCTACGTATTTCAGAGGGGGCATAGACCTGCCAATATCTTGATTTGGGGCTTCCAGCCTCCAAAACTATGAGGCAGTAAATTTCTTTTAAGCTTTGCAGCTTTTGGTACTTCACCACAGCAGCTACAGGAAACTTGTACAGGAACCTTAGCAGAAATGAAGTAGAATTGGGATGATGACTGTGGGACCAAGCAAGGAGTTAGTAAGAGAATAGGAACAGTGTTGAGACAGAGCTTTCCTTTATATTCCAATATCTTTTTTTCCCTTCTCTTTCTGGCATATAGTTTCATTCATTTTCTTCTTGAATATGGTCTTATATACTACTTTATTCACATTCACATACTTCTGATAATTAGCAGAGCCACGTTTTCTGACTTCAAATGCAGTATTCTGCTACAGTTGTTTCTATTATCTCAATACTCATTAAGACATTACAGATTCTATTGCAAGAGAGTTATAGTGGGGGCATGTGAGACTTGATTATAGGTGGGATTTTAAGCAATATAAGAGTAAGAAATGCCTACTAGTAACATCTGAGAGGATAGTAAAGTTTCTGTTCCTAGGTACCCAACATTTAATAGTCAGGCATTTTTAAACTGAAGACTGCTTTTACTGAACAAAACACTGCTATGCATAAATTACATAGCTATCCTTATAACTTATATCCACTGTTCCTAGTTACATTCCAAATGATGTCTTCCCAGTTCTAGATGACTATATATAAACTTGAAGACTGCTGTCACGTTCCCTCTGTCTTTTTCCTGTTTCATATTTTTAGTTCCTCTAGCCATTCTTCAAATGATGCAATTTCTACATCTCTCACCATATTTTGCCCTTCTTCCAGTCTTAAAATACTATACTTAGAATTGAACTCAGTATTACATAGGTGTTCTAATCAGCACAGAGTATAATGGCAATAGTAATTAAAAAGATTGAGACACCTTGCTTCTTACTGTAATTTAAAATTACATAAGCATTTTAAGTAATTACCTCAAGACACTTCAAAATGAACTTGTGGTCCACTAAGACACTAGATCCCTTTGTATTGTTGTCAGATTTAGTTTTCTCCTTCAAGCTACTAGGGGACTGAGGCAGCTAGTTTTTTTTATCTCTGTCTCAGGGACCATATGATTTCTTGTCTCTGTTTCTGTTTGTGTTTTTGTTGTACTTCACTATATGTCTTTTTGACCCTTACCACCTTACAAAATTTCAGTGACTGTTTGCAGTCTTAATACTAAGTATCAGTGAAGAGAGCTGGGAGATGACACTTGTTCCTTCTTTTTTTTTCTTTTTGTGGGGGTAGGTAATTAGTTGTACTTATTTATTTTTATTAATGGAGGTACTGG